AAGTTAAAAATGGTAATTTCATGATTGAAAAACAAAAAAAGATTTCCTTATCACGTGAGAGGATGAGCATTTCCTGGAAAAGTTTATAATCTTTAGGAGCTGTTCTTTTATAGAATATTGCACATTCAAAAATACTATTCATTCATCATCCTGTACCTTTGCCACATCTTGAAAATTAAACTTAAAATGTAGTCAGAAATTTAACATTGCTTCTCGTATTTTGTTCTAATTGTTGAACAGACACTCCTTACCTTCCCTGACACTGGACCTGGATAGTAAACCAAAAACACTTGTATCCATTATGAAGGATACACCCAGACTGGGCTATTGAGAATCTTACCTGGTTCTGATTAGTACTCACTCACAGGTACATGCAAATTATCTGCAGTGTAGGGTAGGTAAAAAGATTGTCCAGGTGAACATTTTTTACTCAACTTTTCTGTTTTGTTCGAGTTGGGAAGCATGCAGTAAGCCAGTTATTGCATGATTTCTCGTCACTCGGGACTTATTACACCCTCGCTTCGCTCGGGTGGAATAAATCCCTTGTTACTCGAAAACCATGCAATAACCTTTACAAACGAAGAAAATGCCAACGAACTAGATCGTGAACCACTTTGTTATTTGTATTTAGCTATAAGTAAACAGTGTTATTGTTCGTAACTCATGCGAATCATTTCAGCCTAAAGCTATCCTCGGACACAGAAGCACAGTGTCATACCTTTTCGATCCATTTGTTTACGGAAAAGGTTCAAGTGAGATAGGTACTACTATAGGTGTTTTCGATTTGACCCATACACACACACGTTCATAATAACACATGTTGTGGTATATGTGTGTACGTTATGTGTCTAACTACACACACTAGCTGTTTGCCCTGGACCTCTCCACGACTACACAACATGGAAACGCGCTGCTGTCGATCGTACCAATGGTCGAAAGCATCTATTCTAGTCAGCAGTTTTGGTCTCCACTTTGTAACTTTAGGGATGGTTCAGTCCTTTGGTGTCATGTACAGTGAGTTACGAGATCAATTCGGTTCTGGTGCTGCAGAAACAAGCTGGATTGCCTCCCTTAGTTCCGGACTGCTTCTTTCGTTTGGTAAGTTGATACCACTTACAAGTATTAAAGTATACTGGTAGCCCAGATATGATATAAATAGGTCCAGTCGGGACATGTGTACTAGCTGTGTTTTTGTGTATATCGCAAAGCCGGAATTATCGCCTATGCGTACTCTATTTTTGTACTCATTAGCATGGCCAATTTAACGTGCACTGATTGTGATATGAAAACGTCACTATATTACTGTCTACTGAAAATAATTTGTTTTACTAATATGCGCTAATTTCAACCTAAACTATTGTCTTTAAATGATAGTGCCTTTAAATGATTACTAATAAGATGATAATCAAATATGGAATGAAGTGTGAATGTGGCACATTGCACCTCTGTAATTTTCATTCAGCTTTTTTAGTTTCGTATATTGTGTTCCGAAATGGAAGAAAACAAGAGTTTCCGAATGCGTTATGGTTTTTACATGAAGAATTGAAGGGTGGTTACTTTGTCCGATTTACCTGCTGCAGTTCATCTATTACGCTTTAAATGAGGAAAATACGGAGTCAAACAGGTAAAAGTCTTAATGATTATGTATATTGAAGTGAAAGCATTTGGTAATTGAGAATATTCTCTTATTTTGTTGCATTTATTAGAAAACGAAAGTAGAACACTTTGCTTGTAATTATCTGTAATACACTTACATTAAGTATCACAGACAGATATTTCACCTGTATTTACTATTACAGACATGTACCATAATAACATTAGCACTGTAGTGCTATTCTTGCAACAAAACATGATCATTGTTAAATTTGATATATATGCTTTATCGCAAGAATAGCGTTACAGCTAATGTTATTATGTTACATATGTATATTCGACGTTAAATAAAGCTTCTTGACCTGACTCTTGACAGGTATTACACTTGTATTTAGTATCACAGACAGGTATCACATCTGTATTTAGTATCACAGACAGGTATTACACTCGTGTTTAGTATCATAGACATGTATCACATCTGAATTCACTATCACAGACAGGTATAAAACTTGCATTTACTATCACAGACAGGTATTACACTTGTATTTACTATTACAGACAGGTTACACATGCGAGTACATTGTACTTTAACACACATCTACAGTACTAGTAGGCAAGTTTACTTCGCTGTACTAAAATACACCTTTCAATAAAACATGCTAATAGCAGTAACAAGAACGAATGGTTTATACACTGTAAACTACTGGTTTTACATTTCTGTCTGTTTTTATTCTGTATACTATTTGAATCATTTTAAGGATAAAGTCCTGTACATGGTCTGGCAAGGTATATATGAGATATAAATCAATGGGTCTTGAGACGAGTTATTAAATGCTTCTTCACATTTAGCTTGTCTCAAAGCCAAATGAAGTTAAATTTACCCTATCAATTCAACATAACAGAACTTGTTTTAATTTATAATTAGTATAATTTTCATGATTTTTTTTTTATTATTTCTAAAATATCAGTCTTTTGTAAGTGTCTGACTCATTGTGTGGCATTGTTAAGTAAGATAAATATCTGTTATGCATAAATTACAATTTTAGAATAATACAAAATGTAAACACATATATTTCAAACTGAAACTTTTGAAGAAAAGAAAAAAAGAATCTGAAAGCTATAAGAAGGTATGCATCTGCACAAATGTTCTATCTTACTCATACATGTATGCAAACTGTAAAGTTTATAGAAAAATAAACCACAGACCCTTAAGTAGATATATATGTAGTAGAACGAGGAATAGTGATAAAGTTATTGCTGTCGCTGGGGCTCGAACCCACGACCTTTGGCTCTCTGGTCCAATGCTCTTCCGCTGACCTAAAAGGAAATTCCTTACAGCTGACACTTGTAAGGCAACTTTATCAATACACATCTTTTACATTTATATTTATGTTTAGTCCAACTTCAGAATAATGTAAATATTACTCTGTATTACTCTTTAAGTGTACGTATATATACACTGTATAGTGTATACATTGCACATATTACCTCTCATAATAAACTCTGCAGACAACTACTCTTTACATACTTGAATATGTGTTCTACATATATACATATACTCTTATCTGTATATCAACTTTTTACAAGAGGACTGATCATGAATAGTTAATATTATTTTTTTTATTTCAATTTAAAACCTGTGGAATACATATACTCTTGATATGAAGTGTATGGGTTCCCTAAAAGAAGTTTTGAAATATTTGACCCCAGTGACCTCAAATATAACTGAAGGTAATTTTTGTAAGCAAACTTTTTCAAGCTCCATCCAAGTGAGCTTAAACAGCCAAATATCATGGTTTTAGGACTTTCATTTCTTCAGAGGTTATTTGATTTTTTGTTTTACCTATTTGACATCTGTCACCTTGACAGTAAGTCAAGTTCACTCTTGTATTTCAACCAAATGTACTATGAAGTATGCATCCTTAGATTTAGATGTTATGCAAGAGGCCAAGAGGGCCTGTATCAATCACTTTTGTATGTAGCGAAATATCCTCATTAAAAAATATGTTGAAGTTGAGACACCAGGCATAAACTCGCATTGTACCTTCAGAGGTGTAGCTCCAACTTGCTACTGAGAAGCAATGCTAAAAAAAGCTTTAATAGAACTATTGATGAAAGTATTTTGCAATGATTGCATTTAAAAAATGAAGGTTGGTGATACATGCCTTCTGGATGACTTGTTTTCATTTGACAGTATATATTATATATCCTATATATCTTGACAAGAGAAGAAATAATGTTATTACTAAGATATTAAGTAATATGAGGTGTAAAGAAAGAGATAAGAGAACATATATAAAAATGTACTTAGTATGTACTGTACTTGTGTTAACATGTCCGGGATCGATATACATGTGTAATACCTGTCTGTGATTATATGTACAGGTGTAATACCTGTCTGTGATAGTGTGTGCATGTGTAATACCTGTCTGTGATAGATTGCACATGTGTAATACTTGTCTGCGATAGTGTGTACATGTATAATACATATGTGATAGTGTGTACATGTGTAATACCTGTCTGTGATAGTGTGTACATGTGTAATACATGTCTGTGATAGTATTAATAGTAAATGCAAGTGTTATACCTGCCTGTAATAGTATACACATATGTAATACATGACTTTGACAGTATAATACACATGTGTTATATGTGAAATGTATGTTTACTCATTATAGATTTGGAATGTTATATGCTATATGATCATCAAACTTTGATGGAGATGCATCTTAATTGATGGTCACTGTTGTAGAGTTGATGTTATTGTGTTGAGAGAATGCCTTAATACAACTTTCAAGTTCTATGTACAATTTGACATACATGTATTCACCATCAGTTTCATTTGGATTGAAATTTACCTATATCTAGCATAGGTATCATAATAGTTGTATGTTTTTTACTCCTTGAAATCTAATCAAGTGTATTCCTATCTAAGCTTTAACAGTGACATTTCAAAACTTTCATTTGATACAGATGTATAGCCATTATAGTTATTAGTATATGATTTAGGAGAATATTACAATTTATTTATTTAACTGCATGTACATATACTAGAGTTGAATATGTATATGATTGTTCTGTCAGCTGTATATGAAACCAGATTTGTAGTTATTAAAATTCTGTAGCTGTGAGGGCACTGCCAACATTAGAATGATCTTTATAATTATGCATTGATCTACAGACTTCATACAATTTATTTCCAATATGTATCAAATCTTGTATTTTGCAGGCTGGTGAATTTACAACACAGGAAAGTCACCAATGTGCATAGATGCTGTCTAAAGTGATTATGATGTCATTATTTGATGATTACTTCAATATTCACTCTTTCATTGTAAATGTAGCAACCAATAAATTATGTGACATTAATTAGAAGTCTGTTGTTTC